ACGCTGCAAGTTGTCTCTTTAACTTTTTTTCATTTTTCCCCTTCACATATTTTTCCATTCCCACACCCCCTTTCTAAAAAATAAAAATGTTTCATCTCCTCTCCTCCCTCTCGACTTTAGACTCGTTTTCGGTTCTTTGATTTGTTTCTTGTAACCATGTTTCTTATCCTTCATGACTAATTACTTGATTTTAGGATGTGCCGAGGTTCACTTTGCATCGAGTTTTGGGGAATGGTCAGGAGAGTTTTTCAGAATGTGTTGCTGATTTTGATTTATTTCAACTATTTATCAAATCACGTTCCCCTCTTTATAGATCTTTTAATTTGATGTATATTAGAGTTTCTTCGTGATTCGTGTTTATTTTTTTATTAGATTTTAATCACTCAATAGAACTCCTGATTACTTTCCAAAAACTGGAATGAACATATGTATGCCGGCTGTGTGAATAGAGTTATACCCCCTCTCCAAAATTAGGAATTTTTTCAAGTGTAGGGTTCTAGTATGTCGACTGTACGAAGATGGAGCGAGGGAATGTCCTCGGATAATGTTAAGGGTTTGGTTTAGCTATTTCTTACAGTTTATTCATCAGGGCAAGTTTCATCTTTAAGAAAAAATGCTTGAAAAAAGCTGGTGCTTCTGGCGTCAGGGCAGGTATGCAATTTATCAAATGTTTACTTTTTTTTTTGATGATTTGATTTCGGATTTCATTTTTTCTTCTTTAATTGGAAACTGCTATTAGGTTAAATAAGTTGCTGTGTTGTAAGATTTTGTGAATAATTGTTTACGCAATTTAGAAAACGAATTTGAGTGAAGTGCAAGTGATGAATATTTATTTGACCTTTGAATATAATTCATCAATAAGGGAATTAATCGATTTGTACTCTTGTCAATCTAGTATGTAAGCTTGTATTTAGTAAACTAGTCTTCATGTTTTTCTTTTTCTTCATAAAACTAATCATTTATGTCTATCAAATTGCACCGGCCTTTTCATTTGCATCCTTTTGATGGTGGGTTTCAGTGTCATCTTTGATTGTATGTATCTTCTAACTTATTGATTATGAATTGTTTACGAAATTCCTCAATCTGCCCAAGTTTCTGTATGCTGAAGTTTTGCATAACGTGTGAAAGAAAGATACAATATGTCTCTATTGAATGAAATTGATGAAAATGATATGTTTTTGATTTTTCAAACTTCAGATTTTCTTTGGTATTGCATGTATGTTTTGTTCCTATTGAACATAGTTTTTTCTATTCATTACAATTTTGTGTTTATTGCATGAAATTTCCTGCTGCATGTGCAATTAGATATATAATTTTTGTTTTATCTCGATTATTTAATGAAATTTTGAATGTATTTGTTATCATTTAGTGATTCTTCACCTTTTTGTTCCTTATGAGGAGTTTTTGTTGTTCTTATGCATGATGAATCACAATGACATTAGTTTTTCTGGTTCTTACACAGGAGTTGGAGGGTATTCGTACTTGCTTGAACCACTTTGGTGGGCTGGCATGATAACAAGTAAGTTTTATGGGTTTCTCATTGATAATTAACTCTATCTCATGTATTTTTTTCTTCCTACTTGCATGCTTACACCTGAATGTTCAGGAAGTTATCAGACTGCAGTCTTTTTAAATACTAGTGAGATGGTCAAGTTTTTTTATTATGATTCATGATTTTAGAGGAAAATGTAGTTAATTCTAATTTTTAATCAACTTTACAACAGTGGTCGTCGGGGAAATTGCTAATTTTGCTGCTTATGCATTTTCACCGGCCATACTGGTCACTCTTCTCGGTGCTCTCAGCATCATTATCAGGCATGCGAATTTGTCTCTCAAATTTAGGTTTGGCATTTAAGTGTTTATTGTTAATCATCACTTCTGATACATTGCAGTACTTGCACATATCATTTTGCGGGAGAGGTTACATACTTTTGGGATTCTCGGTTGTGCTTTGTGTTGTGGGCTCAATAACAATCGTATTGCACGCTCCCCCTGAACGTCAGATTGAATCCATAGCACAAGTCTGGGCTCTTACTACAGAGACAGGTTGTTTTTTCTTAAAGATATTGTTGTTAGCTCATATGGTTTTTCTTCTTGAAATTGGTGTACTACAGAATAGGAAATGAATGTACCATATTTGATATTTTTTGCATGATTTTTTTTTTACGTGGCTCTGGTCATAACAATTGTCATTATACTTATATTCCACTTTGTTCCACAATATGGACAGACACACATTATGGTTTACATTGGAGTATGCTCTCTCGTGGGTTCTATTTCGGTATGCATCAGGACAAGTCTATTGGTTGCTTAATTCTGTGTCCGTTCGATTGTATTGTCTCCCCTCATATTGTTGTTTTTAAGAGTGTTCTTTGACAGGTCATGAGCGTTAAAGCACTCGGTATTGCCTTGAAGTTAACATTTTCAAGAATGAATCAGCTTGTGTATCCGCAGACATGGGCTTTTACTTTAGTTGTGGTTACTTATGTGATTACCCAAATGAATTATTTAAACAAGGTAATGGTTACACATGGTCTTTTCTTCTTTTGGTACTCTCTATTTCCTAAAATGTCTAGATTTGTGCTTTTCTTTTGATTACTTTTCATGCCCCTCAAAGAAAAGGAGACGAAAGAAATGTTGGAATGAATGAAAAACGATCCAAGAAGAATTTTTTTTCATTTTACTTTAAAATCTATTTCATTTACCTCCGAAATGTTTCTCGTGGATAATTTTTTATGGTGTTCATAATCATTAATTTAAACTTTAATCAGTTGAAATTTATCTATTTATTATTTTCTTACTCCGAATCAGTGTTCCCTTACCTTGAATTTTTGTTGTTGATTTTAGCTAATTTAAGACTTCAGTTTCACAGTCTGATTCCTTTTTTTGTTATTGTTATTTTGCCTTCATAATTGCAGGCACTTGATACTTTCAACACAACCGTTGTTTCTCCCATATACTATGTTATGTTTACGCCACTGACCATTTAAAACCATCTTGGTTAAATTTATAGCGAACTTTTTATTCATTACTGCTATGTATCATTTAAAACTATATTGGTTAAATTTATAGTGAACTTTTTATTCATTACTGCTATTCTTGTACAGCTGCTATACAGTGCCTGAAGAGGAAGAGATTATATGAACAACAAATAGAGCAGCTTGGGAACTTCCAGCTTCGTATTCATGATCAAGTGAGCTTGATTTTTTTTCTTCTTTTTCAGTGTTTTAACTATTCCCTTGGAGGGCTTATTATTATTATTATAACTATAGCATTACTTAATTGTATATATCAATTTCCACAGATGATAATGTTAGAATGTGCTAAAGCCACAACCGAAACTGTAGATGCATTGAGAATTGGAGATGTTGTAATGAAAGCAATGCAGAAAGCAACGTATGTATTCCGTTAAATTCATTATATCATTACCATATCATTGATGTTTGTTGGCCTGCGGTTTATGCTGTCTAAATTAGCACTTATATTTGGGTCTTTCATGAAGCATGAGCAGAGGCTAATTCTCACAATCAAACTGAAATTTGCATTCTTTACAGGAATATAGATGATGTTGACAAAACAATGGATGAGATGAGAACTGAAATTTGCTAATTCTCAATTTTCATACTGTAGGTGGAAGATCGTTATCTATTTCAAGTGAAGCATTGAAGCGTGCAAGGAGTCTTCTTGATGAACTGGAGCAATGAAGACTAAATTATAGTGAATAATATTTTTTTTAATTGAAAGTGAAATAACCTAGATTAAATTCTAGAGAACAATGTCAAACTACATTACATTTAATTTTAATGTTTATAAATTTTAATTTATTTTGTTAAAATTTATGGTTGTTGTTATTTATATAAAGTTACATGATATTAAATTTAGGTGATGTAGAGCATAAATGAAATATGCAAAATATCAATTAATCTTAGCTAAAGAATGGTAATTAGCGGCGTTTGTTCCAAAACCGCCGCTACAGATCTGACCTTTTGCGACGTTTGTATCCAAAAACGTCGCTACAGATCTGACCTTTTGCGGCGTTTGTATCCAAAAACGCCTCTACAGATCTGACGTTTCGCGGCGTTTGTATACAAAATCGTCTCTATAGATCTGACCTTTTTGCGGCGTTTGTATACAAAAACGCCGCTATAGATATGACCTTTTGCGGCGTTTGTTTAAAAAACGCTGCTATAGATCTTGACTTTTTGCGGCATTTTTATTTCACAAACGCCGCTAACATTAGCGGCGCTGGTATGACCGGCGCTTCTTGCGGCGTTTTTACTATCGCCGCGAGTGCTTTTAGCGGCGCATAAAAACGCCGCTATAGAACTAAAAAACGCCGCTAAAACCAGTTGAATAAAAAGATTGAAAGAGTTGAATCAAATAAAGCTGCATGTACTATATTTAGTGATTATAGTGAAAAACAATGCATAATTCACAAACTATCTCCTTATTCACTTGAATTGAAAAAGCTTTTGAAAGTAATAATTTTTATGAATACTTGATTGGAAGTTATCTTTATTTCTGAAATGATTTCTTTTTTGAATGATAACCATTAGAGTTTAAGCAATTTGCGTAGAGGTTATAGAATATGAAGTCGTGAAGGTATATAAGCTTCAACCACTCATTTATTGAAATTATCTTCTGCATAATAGTTTCAATCATTACCATTGCCATAAAGAATCTATCCCATCCACCCCTTCAATGTTAATTCATAAATTTCTATGATAATAATGCTAGAAGAGGGACCGTTATTGCCCCACAACTGTCTTCTGTTCAGCTTTTATGATGATGAGTATGATATCCCGTTTTCCCATCTAGATCCAATGTCTCCCATTTTCCTCTTGTTATTGCTTTCATCATAAATCCAATTACTAATTTCAAGTTACTTCTGGAAATTAATACCATGGAAAAAGCTTATTGATTTCTTAATCATAATTATGAATTTTAAAATATTAAGAAACATGGATGAAACTCTATATAAACTACAGCCTGCTAATATCAGGAGAAGATATCCAAAACCCAAATTAGAAGAGAAAATGACGAGCAAGAATGTAGAGTTAGAGTTGGTGTGGCTGATCCTGGTAGCGGCGGTAGGAGCTTGTGTTTTTCTATTTGGTTTTCCCAAGAAAATAAATGAATGGTACTATGTTCTACGGTTGGGGAAGAAGAAGCATAGCTCTCTCCCGCCGGGAGATATGGGTTGGCCTTTCATTGGGAATATGATTTCCTTTGTCAGAGCTTTCAGATCCCAAAACCCTGATTCCTTCATCAGCAACCTTGTTCATAGGTCTTGTCTCTTCTCTTCGTTTTGAGCAAATAATATGATTCTGCATGTTATCTAATGTAAAATCTTATGTTTATCGCTGATTGACAGGTATGGTCAGACTGGGATTTACAAGACGAGTTTGTTCGGAAATCCGAGCATCATAGTTTGTAGCCCCGAAATTTGTAGGAAGGTTTTGACGGACGATGAGATGTTCAAATACGGGTACCCTACGTCTTTGGACAAGTTACTCGGGAAACTTAAGTCATTACATGGTGTTTCAAATTCAGAGCACAGGTATTTGCGGAAGCTATTGATTTCATCAATCAATGGCCATGAGGCACTCTCAAAACATATTGGATATATCGAGGACGTTGTGGTTTCTTCCTTGGAAGAGTGGGGACGCAACAACTCTCCGATTGAACTCTTAACTGAGTTAAAAAAGATCAATTTCAAAGTCATGACGAGAATTCTCATGGGCTCTGCTGATTACATTTCCGAGTCAATGACCAAGCAGTATGCACATTTGTTCCAAGGATTGCTGTCGCCGCTACCGATCGATGTTCCCGGTTTTACATTCCATCGAGCGATCCAGGTGAAATTTTGGTTGCATTAAGCTCATTTTGTACCACTGGCAGTACTGGACATGACTGATTTTCATGTTATCAGGCAAGAAAGACATTGGTAAATGTTTTTCAAGCACATCTGGATGAAAGAAGGTGTAAAAACGATGACGGCCTGAACATTAAAAAGGGCATGATCGACCTACTCTTGGAAGCTAAAGACGAAGATGGTGAAAAACTGGATAACGAACTGATCGTTAATTTACTACTGGGGTTCTTGTTAGCCGGTCACGAAACAACAGCGCATGCTGCATTGTGGCTCACCGTTTACCTTCACAATCATCCCGAAGTTCTACAGAAAGTCAGGGAAGAACAATTGGAGATCATAAAGAGAAGACCATCGTCACAGAAAGGTTTAACTCTCAACGAAATTAGACAGATGGAATATCTATCAAAGGTACGTTTCCTCGTTATTTTTTTCGAGTTGTTTTACCACAAACAATCATGAATCAAGTCACCTTCATTCTAAATTCCAGGTCTTCGACGAGACCATGCGATTAAACGGTATGCCATTCGCAATTTTCCGAAAGACAAACAACGATGTTGAAGTTGATGGTTAGTCTGTAGATGATTGATACTCTTCAGGATTTTGTTTTATTTGTTTTTTCCTGCATATGACTCTCTCAGGAAACATGTTTGGTTTATAATTTTGAAGGCTATATCATACCCAAAGGATGGAAAGTTTTGGTTTGGAACCGAGCTATTCATTTGAATTCTGAAATTTATTCGAACCCGATGGATTTCATTCCCTCGAGATGGGATGTAAGTAGAAGAAAACACATTACACCAATCAAATTCAAAGTCTAAAACAGTGATTCTAACCCAGAAAGCTGTCTGGTTTTCACATTGAATGCAGAATCTTAAACCGAAAGCTGGGTCTTTTATTCCATTTGGAGCAGGAAGTAGGACATGTCCTGGAGCTGATCTATCCAAAGTCGAGATGTCTATCTTCATTCATTATTTGGTACTAAACTACAGGTATCTCAACTATGAGAATGAATGAAGATAGATAATCAAATACAAACAGTCTGGTGTTTGAGGTTTAAGAAAATAGAACTAAATTTGCTTTATGTTGTGCAGATTTGAACAGATTAATCCGAAGAGCCCAGTTATATTTCCTAACCCTAGTCCTATAGACAATTGTCTCGCCAAGGTTACAAAGCTCCGGTGACCATCAAATATGAATGTCGTCGACGTTGACGTCGTCGTCATCATCATCTCTCTTGGTCCCTTAGTAACAGATCTTTATGTATTTCGCTTTTGATATTTTCCTCTCATCGTTATAATAAAAGAAAGCAATAACTTCCGTAATAAAATTTTACATCCATATTTTAATAGAATTGAAGTCTCTATGCCTAATAATCTTTAACTTATCATACATTTAATATATAAACATGAAATACTATAAATATATCGTAGGATTGTTTTTTGGATTCCATTCAATAATTCATATCCAAATTGCTTAAAGATTTATCCAACATCCCGAAACTATATACATAATATTTAGATACATACAAATTTGAATATGCATTAAATTTCTGGGTGTTGAAATATAAGAATTTTTACATTAGTTAAGATCAACAAAAATATCATTTGATTTACTTTGACCGAATTTGTAATATATACAATCATAAACTAAATGAGATCAAATTCTCACTAATAATACGTGCCTTTACCTCTTTACATTATCTTTTGAATTCCTCCTGATTTTAAATATCTGTTTCAGATTATTGTTAATAACAATTTCAGATTATAGTAATATATATCCTGGGTTTTATTTTTGGACAGTATTTTGTTTTTATCCCTTTTGGGGCTGCCTGGTTTTGCAGATTGTTGGATCTCTGGTGTGTTTGGGGTACATTTTTAATTTTGGGGCATATGAATTTTAGGAAGCATCCTCCTCTGAGCAGTTCGAGTGCTCCTCCATCTCTCGTTCTGTTTGTTGTCTTTTTAGAGCTGTGTTGTGTGCATATTAATGATTTGTTTTGAGTGTGTCTCTAATCATTCCTTGTATTTGATAGTTGTTTTATGGTCATGGTGTAATTTTTTTCTTCCACTAAAATTTAGAGAGATTTTGTAATGAGATTTATGATTGTGTCAAACAGTCAAACTTTATAACTTTATGATATTAATACAAAGTTTAATCTCTTTTAAAAAAATAATCTAATATCGTAACTGATACAACTCGATCATCTATATTAATTTACAAATAAAATTCTTATAGTTTACTTTTTAAAAATATATAACTAAATTATTCGAAAATACCACAATTTTTATAACATCAATTTTAATATAATATCTGAGACACAGCTACGTGATACTGATAGGCGGGCCCCAACAACTACTTTTTGCCCATCCCCCCCATTTATTATACATTGTATTTTGCCTATCATGGCAATTGTTTTCTTTTTCTGCCTCTTGGAATCACACAGTTATTATACTCTCATCTACTTAGGGATGGGTACGGGGCGGGGGAGTGTCAGTTCCCCCCCCCCCCCAACCGACTCTAATTTGAAAATATTTAGCTAAAATCCGATCTAGTCCCGCTTTGATAAATTTTGAATTTTTTTCTCGTTCCGAATCCATCCCAATTATTATACTGTAACTTTAATTTCGATCGAATTAGACTATAATATATTAATATTTTAAATAATTAAAATAATATATTATATTTTAAATAATTAAAATAATATATTATATTTTAAATAATTAAAATAATATATTTTAATAGTATAAAAATAAATTCCTTTAAAATTTTAAATATATTATATATTTTATACCAGGTTGAATTGAGTCTGTGATTTTTCAACTTAAATCCGGCCCTACCCCGTCCCAAACCTACCTAGTATATAACCTGCTTTGCCCTGTCCTGAACCTTAAAATTTCAAAACAAAAAATTCTCTATAGGGTCGAGTCAGGTCGAGACCCATCAGGTTCGAATATTTTGACTATCCCTGTCCACCGTCCCATAATTTGTATTTTATATTAAATATATACATAAATTTAAAAGATATATTAAACTAAGAAAAATGATAAAATTATCATAAAAAGAATTGATAAATTTGATAGATTTATTTTGATAAGTATAAAAAAGTGAGACGTACAAGGATAAAAAAGAAAAAGAAAAATATTGTTGTTTGTTGACTTTTCTAATAAGAAATTTTAAATGAAACAATTTTAAAAATTAAGATAGATACTTTTAGTGGGATAAAGAGAATATTTTGTATCTTTTACCAATTATGACAATTGTTTTTTAGACATCTAATTAAAGTAAGAACTAGTGACCAACAAGGTTAATTATAGTGGTAATCAACTTGATATGGTTTAAACATGTCTTGAGTTTGAGTCTTTATGTATGTAAAAAATTCATATTGGGATACTCGCCCACCAAATCCAGGTATGTGACATAGGCCAGTTCAAATTAGTCAGAGCAAAAACATGTAAATCAAGAGGGCAACCAAAAAAAAGAGTAAGAATTAGCGATGTAAATGAATCGAATGTTCAGTCAATTATTTATGAACCGTTTGATGAAAAGTTTGTTTATGCTTGTTTATCTATTTAGCGAACAAACATGAATAATATTTTTTATTTGTTCAATTAAATGAACGGACACGAACAAAGAACTCATTTGTTTATTTATATTTATAAACATTTAATAGTCTGTTTATTTATGTCCGTTTAGATTCTGTAAATATATTTTACATAATCAATACGTTAGATCAAAATTTAATAAATTAATAAATTTTCATCAAAAATAATATTTAAATAAATTTTATTATTTCTATAAAATTATATTAAAATAATATTAGATAGAATTGGACCTGAAATCTTATTTGAAAATTTTAATATTTAATTACACTTTGATTAAAATTGAAAACCAAATTAAAATTACCTTCTTAGTTTATTTTCCCAATGACCATTGAATCTTATCATTTAATAGTTCCACAGATCTCAAAGTCAGAAAAACAATAAAAAGAGGTTGTACAGATCTCTTAATCTGTTGAAGTAATCGCCGAGATCATATTCATTAATCATAAATCTCAATGCACCACGAGAATTTCAATTCCTCGTCGAGAGAAGTAAAATGAGTGCCTTGATGGAGCTTGTGATTCTTGTCCCATGTTCTTTCTTCCTCGTAGCTTTGATCAAATTCCTTTATGATTACTTATGGACACCTCTCCGTATACAGCATCTGCTGAACTCACAGGGAATCAGAGGACCTCCTTACAGATTCATCTATGGAAACAAAAAAGAAGTTGCCAAAATGAGACGAGAAGCATTGAGCAAAACTCTGGGTTTGGCAGACAATATGTTTCCCTATGTGCAGCCACATATTTTCTCATGGATCAACAAATATGGTAAGAATTATGTTTCATGGGATGGAGCTAGAGCTCAACTTGTGATTTCAGAACCTAAACTAATCCAAGAGGTTCTGAAAACAGTGAAAAGGGTTTTCCGATAAGGGAGCCTCCGGTGTTTAGTAGAAAGTTACAAGGGAATGGGCTTGCGGTCTTGGAGGGAGAACAGTGGGCGAAGCGTCGTAAGCTGGTGAATTACGCTTTTCATGGGGAAAGCTTACAGGTAAAAGTAAAATCTCCAACATATGTAGAACTCTTCTAATAGATCAAGACATTGCTGGCTAAATCTTACATTGTTCGAGCAGAACATGATTCCGCACCATAAATTCTTCAACCAAATGAGCTTAAGATTCATCCTTCGACAAATCATGAATCATTTTCCTTTTTAACTTTTAAAGTAAAGAATTAAAAAAAAAAAGTCTTTTCAATCCTCTCGTACTTCTACATAAGTATTATCTTTTTATTTTAGATATTCATGTTTTTTCTTATCATTGTATATTTAATTATTTAATTTTAAATCATGCATATATTATCTCATGAGTCCCGTAAAAATATAAAGGACGAATAATTTTCCTTTTTAAAGAAAATTTGAAGTGATCAAATATCAATAAAATATACTAGGATAACTCCATGATTGCATATCTGCTTATTTTCCTTTTTTTTCAGGCAATCATTTTATTAATATTAAAAGAACCACTGGACAGTGGTTTACAAGGCCCTAACACACTGGACAAAAACACTAAAACACACCTAATGGATCACAATCAAAACACAAACAAGCTCCCCATGCCTAACACGAGACACGAAAGCCAGCTGCCACAATTGACAACTCCCGCATCCACCCTGAGTACTGTTTTGAAAGGCCTACCTGCAGCTGCAGCATCATCCAATCAAAACTAAAACACCAAAGACTGGGAATAATATCCTACCGAAGACAGTATACAACCAACTTCCAATCGGGAAAGCCAAAGAGAACCAGCATGGAACTCGTGAAAAGCAATGCCTAACCGACCAGAACCAGAAAACAAATACCCTCCTAAAGATAAGCAATCAACACGCAAACCAGTCATCCACTTCACCTATACAACCCAGAAGAACGACTCAAATATCACCATGAAGAGCCATGGACTAATCTTATGCCTCCTACTCAAAGTGCCCACGAGCAGCTACGAGAAGATGAGTAAAAACCTTCACGAAACATTAGCTTTTCTATCCACAATATATATATATATATATATATATATATGATGACAATGACATTCATATTTGATGGTCACGGGAGCTTTGTAACCTTGGCGAGACAATTGTCTATAGGACTAGGGTTAGGAAATATAACTGGGCTCTTCGGATTGATCTGTTCAAAGCTGCACAACATAAAGAAAATTAGTTGTAGTTTCTGAAACCTCAAACACCATACTTTTTGTATTTGATTATCTATATTCATTCATTCTCTAGTTGAGATACCTGTAGTTTAGTACAAAATAATGAATGAAGATATACATCTCGACTTTGGATAGATCAGCTCCAGGACATGTCCTACTTCCTGCTCCAAATGGAATAAAAGACCCAGCTTTTGGTTTAAGATTCTGCACTCAATTTGAAAACCAGACAGCTTTCTGGGTTAAAATCACCGCTTTAGACTTTGAACTATATTGGTGTAATGTATTTTCTTCTACTTACATCCCATCTCGAGGGAATGAAATCCTTCGGGTTCGAATAAAATTCAGAATTCAAATGAATAGCTCGGTTCCAAACCAAAACTTTCCATCCTTTGGGTATGATATAGCCTTTAAAATTCAAAACCAAACATGTTCCCAGAGAGATTCATATACGGGAAAAACAAATGAAACAAAATCCTGAAGAGCATCAATTATCAACAGACTAACCATCAACTTCAACATCATTGTTTGTCTTTCGGAAAATTGCGAATGGCATGCCGCATAATCGCATGGTCTCATCGAAGGCCTAAAATTTATAATGAAGGTTACTTGCTTCATAATTGTATGTGGCAAAGCAACTCGAAAAAAATAATGACGAAACATACCTTCGATAGATATTCCATCCGTCTAATTTCGTTAAGAGTTAAACCTTTCTGTGACGATTGTCTGCTCTTTAAGATCTCCACTTGTTCTTCCCTGACTTTTTGTAGAACTTCGGGATGATTGTGAAGGTAAACGGTGAGCCACAATGCAGCATGCGCAGTTGTTTCGTGACCCGCTAACAAGAACCCCAGTAGTAAATTAACGATCAGTTCGTTATCCAGTTTTTCACCATCTTCGTCTTTAGCTTCCAAGAGTAGGTCAATCATGCCCTTTTTAATGTTCAGGCCATCATCGTTCTTACATTTTCTTTCATCCAGATGAGCTTGAAAAACATTTAACAATGTCTTTCTAGCCTGATAACATGAAATTCAAATATTCAATTACGTCCAGTGTTACAAAATGAGTGCAACCATTATTTTACCTGGATCGCTCGATGGAATGTAAAGCCGGGTACATCGATGGGCAGCGGCGACATCAGTCCTTGGAATAGTTGTGCATACTGCTTGGTCATTGACTCGGAAATGTAATCAGCAGAGCCCATGAGAATTCTCGTCATGACTTTGAAATTGATCTTTTTCAACTCAGTTAAGAGTTCAATGGGAGAGTTATTATGTGCCCACTCTTCCAAGGAAGAAACCACAACATCTTCAATATACCCAATATGTTTGGAGAGTGATTCATGGCCATTGATTGGTGAAATTAATAACTTGCGCAAATACCTGTGCTCTGAATTTGAAACACTATGTAAAGACCTATGTTCCCCGAGTAAATTGTTCAAAGACGAAGGGTAGCCGTATTCAAACCGCTCGTCGTCAGTCAAAACCTTCCTACAAAGTTCGGGGCTGCAAACTATGATGCTGGGATTCCCGAACAAACTCGTTTTGTAAATACCAGTGTGACCATACCTGTCATTTAAGAATAAACACAGAATTTTATGTCGCGGAACCTACAAAATCATATTTGCTCAAAACGAGGACAAGAGACAAGACCTATGAACAAGGTTGTTGACGAAGGAATCAGGGTTTTGGGATCTGAAAGCTCTGACAAAGGAAATCATATTCCCAATGAAAGGCCAACCCATATCTCCCGGCGGGAGATAGCTATGCTTCTTCTTCCCCAACCGTATAACATAGTACCATTCATTTATTTTCTTGGGAAAATCAAATAGAAAAACACAAGCTCCTATCACCGCTGCCAGAATCAGCCACACCAACTCTAACTCCACATTCTTGCTCGTCATTCTTCTCTTCTCCCCTTTTGGGTTTTGGATATCTTTCCCTGATATTAGCTGTCTGTAGTTTATATAGAGTTTCATCCATGTTTCTATTTTACTGTCTTGTATATAAAAATATATATTTTTTAATATTTTCCTTGTATATTACGTTGACAGTGAAATGTCACTACAAGATTTTCCACCAAGTCATTTAGATTTTCTCATATCATTATGTTTATCATCAAAACTTTATAATTATAATACATTTATCCATTTCTTTTAAAATTCTTTTATTTTCTACATTGTTTAATTCAAGTGGATAAGGAGGAGATAATTTGTGAATTATGCATTGTTTTTCACTATAATCATCAAGTGGAATACACGCATATCCTTTATCTGATCCAACCCTTTTTAAATCTTTTATTCAATTGATTTTTTACTTTAATTTTTTACTTAAAGAAACATTTTCAAGACACCATCTTTCTTACTTAGTAAGTCACTCCCACAAGTTACTACATTTTAGGAATACTTATCTTAAAACACCATAAGATGATTTAATTATTTTCACAGAGATAATTCAGTATACATTTTTTACATATTGTGTTAATAGTAGCATGCTACAAAAATCATGGTAATACAAACTCACTAATTAACATGTCACATGAATCATCATGATATTTCAATTATAAAATAAACATAACATGTATAAGAATTCTAAATAAACAATAAATAATATGTTGTTACAAAGTCCTTTTTTTCACAAAGAGTATTTTTTGTGAGATTTATTATTATCCCTTAAGATTCTAGGTTTGAACATTATATATGTCAGGAGTATAAGTCTTCGTTATCAAAAGGATTGAGAGTGTCTTAATAGATAATATCTTATAATATTATTACATTTAAACTTTTACTTCAATTTTTTTTAGTAATCCAACATAACCCAAATTATTTCAAATATTAGGAATATGAATCACTACACTTGGAGTCCGTTTCGTAAAGCTCTCTAAGTATTTTTAGCTAAAAAAATCCGTTTTGAATACAAAATTAATGCAAAACGGGAAAAAATGAAAACAAAAAATCGGTGAAAGCGGTGGTTTCAAACCAACATCAAAAGTTAGGATTTCTAATTTTTTTTTATTTTCATCTTTTCCGTTTGGAAGAAAATTATAATTTTAATCTTACTATTGCATGGACTCCACTCAATTATGTATTTACATTTTATTTTAATAATTTAATACTATCATCCTTAAAAAATAATTTATTTTAATTAATTAAAAGTTAACTTTAAATAAAATTAATATGTTATTTTCATTTTTTTTGTTTTCCTGACATGATTAATATGTTCACAAATTTGTTTTTGTATTTTAATTTAATTATTTTTAATTTTTGTACGTTTATTTTTTAAAATTTCAATACTAAGATGGATATTATTTTTAGGGTAAAGTACGCAAATGATCCCTCAACTATAGGATATTGCTTTGTTGAGTCCTTTGACTATTAAAATTTACAAAATGGTCCCTTGACTATAGGATGTTGCTTTATTGAGTTTCTCGACTATCAAAACTTACAAAATAATCATTCGACTATTCATTATGTTCCAAACTCATCCTTTTTTGTTAAAAATTTGACGGCAATCTGAGCTGGACGTTAACATGTTGACTGAGATATGATAAAATTTGATCTCATAATCTCAAACAACTATCATATCTCAGTCAACATGTTAAAGTTCAGCTCAGACAACTGTTAATTTTTTAATGGAAAAGGATGAGTTTGAAACATAATGAATAGTCGGGTGACCATTTTGTAACCTTTAATAGTCGAGGGACTCAACGAAGCAACATCATGTAGTTAGGGGACCATTTTCTAACTTTTAATAGCTAGAGGACTCAACAAAGTAGTATTTTATAGTCGATGGACTATTTGTATACTTTACCTTTATTTTTTTCAGGTTAACTTATGCTATTAGTTCATGGATTTAATCTATATGTTTTAATTTGATCATTTTAAATTTCAGAATTTAACGAGTTAAATTTAAATCAGACCGAAATTTAAAAAAAAAAGTATTCGAAATTTAAAATAATAAAAAATGATTTCCAATACACTGACTCATCAACAACCTTGAGTTAATTAATTGGAAAGCGCTTATACCTTGGTTATTTTATTAAAACAATCACCGTCTTAATAGGAGTCGGATCTTATTTAGATTCGCTAAGGTTTAATTTATTTCTATGAGATTTATAGAAACGTTTTTTAAGTGTATCACATGTAAATCACCCTTGCATATTTCATATGAAAAATATCAATAAAGTAAATCTAGAGATCCCGTATCAAGAAATCACCAATAATTATTCCTTTTATATTAGAAAATTGATATCCGAAGAACCCATTTAAGTGACTTCAATAGTTAAAGAGAATGATGTTCTTTATCGATGTTTTGTGTTCGAGTATTTATGTTTGTATGGTGTATATGCGTTGTTAATAATTAAGAAATATTATGAATAAATATTATCTTTTAATCAAACTATTAAAAAAAATTGAAAATGGATATCTGAAATCATGCAATTAAAACTTCAAGGCCAAATCAATCAATAAGGCCTCTCATTCAACAACTCTGCTGAATAAGTCATGCAATTATCACACTCTTGCTCAATTCTACAACTAGCTGATATCCGGAACTGCTTTCTCACAACTGAAGACACTAGATACTATAATCCGATGTTCATTTTATCAAACGTATCAATTCGATTAATACGAGATTTACTTAAGATAAAATTATTTAATTAAATATCAAAACGAATCAAAAATTTTGAGACATCAAGTGATGGATGCTCCTGTTTCTACCTGGTTCAAAGATGACGCATGCTGTGGATCATCGCATTCACATTGGATATACCAATAAGTATAGAGTAGCTATTAATAGATCATAATTGATAAGTTGCATTAATATGGTATGATGATCTAAATTTAATTCGAAATTCAAAACAAATCTAACTAAATTAAAATTGTACTGAATTTTAGTTTAACAGATATAAACTTGTATCGAAAGCAATCCGAATAAAAAATAATATGATTTTAACTTGTCCAAATCTGATATAAACCAAATATCGACTTGATTCTAACCTGCTAACTAAGTCAAAATGAGAATAATTCATTTTTATTTTTAGATATTTTTTAGATAAAATAATAGGCCTAAAACCCAACTTTGTATGTATATATATTATTTTAATCATTTATTTGATTTGATTTGATTTATTTAATTTTATTAATTAAATATCTATATCTAAAATTTAAACGCCTAATTAAATATTAAATAAAAGTAGATTTAAAATAATTTTAATTCGCAATTAATTAAATAATTAATTATGAAAAGTTGATTTTTCTTCATTAAACAAATTTTCATATAATTCAATTCTAATTTCGTAAAATTATAACAACTTTATTGTCTTAAAATTTATGCAAAACTTTATTTGTTTTTTTAATTTCAATTTTTATTAATTTTATAATGATTTATTAATTTAATATCTATTTTGAACTTGATTAATTAATGATTCAAAAATATTAAATTAATCTCTAAATTATTTATAAGATACATTGTTAATTTAATATTTCATTTTTTAGATTCCATTAAATAATGATTTAAAATTATTACATTAATTTTTAAACTATTTAAATTAAATTATGATTTATTAATGTAACAACCCGAAAAAAATATATTTAAATCGGTGTAATTTGGTGACTAAATTAAAAGTTTTTAAAACTTATAGGCCATTTTAGAAGATGGAAAAAAATTCAATGACCAAACCCTACATTATACCTTTGAGTGTCGGCAGACTTTTCTTTTAAAGGAAATGAATTGGTTTCTGCGTGAAAACACAGAAAACCAATTCATAAAATTCCCTTTCCAGCAACCTTCTTTAAAGTCTGATTCCGACGCCGTCCGAGCTCCAATCGTAAAATTAAAACCACCGTCGTGTTCATCTTCGACCCATGAACAAAACCCAGTAAATCAATTATAGCGAAACGCTGCCAAACGACGTGAATTTTGAGTCAAAGTCTCGACGTTTTTTTAGCACCACCGTCGAGAAAATCTTAAATTCATCTCCGATCGTTGATCGATTTTCGACACCTCCCGCACCATCGTATTCCTTGTGTCGTTCCGAGTCCGACGGTGTCCTCCTTGTCTCCGTAGGCGGCGACGCGTGAGGGAGGTGATGCAGTCAAAGTTCTGATCGAGTTGAAATCGAGCTCTTCACCGTTCAAAAATTTGAACCGAGGTTGGTAAGTGACTCAAAATCGCTTAAAATAATTTTTGAAAATTTTTGGAGACCAGAGGACATCTCACGTGCCCCTACGCGTGGAGAAGATTAGAAATGGGGGTTTATAATAGTTGATCGGCTTGACCGGTCTGATCCGACCCGGTGACCGACCCGACCCGTTAACCGACCCGACCAGTTGACTCGACCCGTTGACCCGACCCAGTGACATTCTGGGAATTTTTTTGAAAAAGGTGACATTTTGGTAATCATTTTGAAAAATGTGGCATTCTTGGAATTATTTTGAAAAAAGTGAAATTATGGGAATTATTTTGAAAAAAGTGATATTCTGGGAAGTATTTTGAAAAATGTGACATTTTGGGAATTATTTTGAAAAAGGTGACATTTTGGGAATTTTCGAATGTGGACTAATGAACCCCTTTAACCATAACTTTGATCGGCTTTTAACGACCAAACGACATTTGATTTTGTTCAAGTATACCTATTATGACATTTTTCAATGTGTCGAATCCGTTTCCGAAGTCCGTTTTGCCAAATTCGAACCCGAAGGTCTCCAAATCATCAGTTAAACCCGTTGTCTTTGATGTTGACCAAGAATTTGAATTTTTGAAAAGTCATACTTTATGTTTTTCGACGTCTTGATTCCGTTTCCGCAATCTGTTTGGTCAAATTCAAACTCAAAATCCTTCAAATTGATAGTCAAACTCGGAAAATGCTTATATACTTGAGAATTTTAGCTTTGATCAATTAAGTAAGACTTGGGGTTGATAAATTATTATTGTTTGAAGGTACAAGA